TTAAAAGTACTTAAAAGTAAACATTTGTTCTGTGCCATTTGCAACTAAAAAACTATTGCTGCAATATTATCTGAAATATACTGAACTGGTGATATTAAAACATGACCTGTTCCAAAAGAGATATCTACCATTAACACCATTTACCAGCCAGATGCTGGTAAATCATGCAAGTGGCTGGTACTGTATGTTGCACGCACCAGCCACAAATAACAATGGCAATCTATTGAGTGGCTGGTAACATTTCAACATTCACTAGGCTAGCCATTTGGCCAGTGGACAAACATGTTAAAATGTGACCTCTGCAACCGTATTGTTTAATTACACTGGGTCTCTAATGACATCTTTTAAGTCTACCATAAATAAACGTATTCCTCTATCCTCTCACTCAAACCCAGTGTAATGGTAACCTGATAAACCTGTAACATTAACGTTACGTGGTCAACAATAAACCTGTAACCTGCCTATAAACCGACAGATGTATTTATGTATGTAACTATGTATTTTTCTACGTTTAACGTTAGCCAGTAGATGGTGGCAGCGGAACGTAATGATTAACGTTACCGACCTTTTTTATGTCATGTCAAGAGTTGGATGTCAACGCCACTCAACGCAAACAAGTGTGACAAGCAAACATTCACTCATCTTTTCAAATATTTAGTTACAAAGCTAGTAGCAAGCTAAGTTAACATTACATAGCTGATGCTGAGCTAAAAATGTTTGCTAACCGTCCATATGCGTTAATGTGACTGACCTCTCCGGGTGAGTTTTCAAGTGCCTGATGAAATTTGACGTTGTTGCACCAGCATCCTTGATTTTAATATTGTAGACTTTGCAGTGTGCGCTCCTTTTGTTGGTGCCGCCGGCGTTTTATTCAAAGTTTTTATAGTTGAACCTAATTACAAGTTGTACAGCTGCAGGTGTGCCGCCGGTCGCCATGGTGTTACCATGATGTTAATGTTAATGTTAAAGGTGGGGTAGGTAAGTTTGAGAAACCGGCTCGAGATACACTTTTTGTTATATTCCATGGAATGCTCTTAACATCCCGATAGCCGGCCCGGCTAAAGTAACTGGATGGCCTACCTGCCTGTCAGCCTCCCATCGGGGCACAAACTTATCTCGTGCCCTCATTGGTCATGTGCGCGTTCGTGTGTGTTGGAGGAGGGGCTCTGAGAGGAAGTGGAAGATTTTCTCCGGTTGTGTATTTTCAAATTCTAGCGATCTCGAGCCGGTTTCTCAAACTTACCTACCCCACCTTTAATACGCCAAAAATAGAAAACACAATGATTGTTCACGAGTCCCAAAACTCGAGTCCAAGTCGAGTCCGAAGTCTTTTGAGCAGGAGTCCAAGTCAAGTCTGAAGTCTGTGTGCGACTTAAGTGCGACTCGAGTCCGAGTCACAGACTCGAGTCCCCATCTCTGGTTTGTGTTCCAGCTGTCGATCAGCTGTGCGCAGCGTCTCCACTGCAGCAACTCTATATCCACCAGTTAAAGGAAATACAACTAATGTGTTGTGTTATATTAGCCCGGGTCAATGGTGCCCAGGCGATGGATCCACCTCCGCTCCGCCGCTCGCCTCTGGCCCGTGCTCCAGCCACTGCTGCTCTCCAGGCCCATGGACTGCACGTTCTGGAGGCCATGGAGTTTAAAATGGTTATATAAAACGCTCGTGCCGTCCCCGTCTCTAATTCTATATTGGTGTTGTTTAATTCTGAGGCTGATCTCATTGCGCGTTTCCCCCACATAAAGCCTCTGGCAGGCCTTGCACCTAATTGCATAAATAGCGTTTTTTGTGTTAGGTGTCAAGGCCTGCCGTACATTGCTCTCCTCTCGAGAGAAGGGATTGAAAATGTGGGGGAGGCGAACGAAACCAACCTCAGAGACTCGAGGCGCCTCCCTAGTTTTAGTGCTTTTATTTAGTTTGGTATGGACCAGGAGGTCCTGGAGATTTTTATTCCGCCGGTAGGCAGAGATCAGCCGGCACGGCCGCAGCGCGTCACAGTCACTCCTGGCCCCCTCAAAATTGGCCTTTAGTTTGCCTAGAAGGCTGGTCAGGCTACCTGAGTAGGTTGTGATGAGGGGGACCAGGGTAGGGCCGGACGGCCGGGCGGAGATGTCTTTATATTTCTCTATGAAGGTGCGGCTGACCTCCGCCTTAATGCTTCTAAGGAAGCGCCTCGAGTAGCCCCTAGGTCTCAGCGCACTAAAGAGGATTCTGGTAGCCTCCTCCACATCCTCCGCGAGGGTGCATATCCTGTGGAAGCGGACCAGCTGGGACTTAATCAGACCTCTGTACGTGTGCCCAGGGTGATAGCTGGTTTTATGGAGGAGTGCGTGGCGATCTGTGTCCTTAAAGAAAACCCTGGTGGTGAGTGTCTTGCTGTGGTCGCTGGAGCTGCGGAAAAAGACCCCAGTTAAAGGAAATAGAACTAATGTGTTGTGTTATATTAGCTGTTGTAGTGCCGAGAGATAGGGAGTCGGAGGCGGTGCAATGGAGGTACAAAGCTTGCTTTAATGAGCAGCAGAAATGTAGATGTTGTTGGGTCGCAGCCCGGGACGACAAGAGAAAGAGCCAGGAGGGCACACAACATATAAAGGTAACCACATATATGTCCGTGTGGAAACAATACCCCCAACTCTAGTTCCATGTGTGGATTATGTAACCCAGTGTATTAAAGGTGGTCACCACACAAGCCCCCCCAGAATCCAAACATGGCAAAAAAAAATCCTCGCGTCCGTGGAGGAAGCACCACAGGGGCCGAGAAGGGTGGGGCCGCAGGTGAGGACCGGGCCATGGAATGGGCCGTCGGAAGGGGGCCGCAGTAGGCGTCGTGGCGAATTAAGTCATCACCCGCCAGTCGGTGAAAGCCGGGTCGCTGAGTCGCGACGGGCGTCAACAACCCGGTGGTCCCCAGCAGGAAGGAGCGCTGCCCGGCCGCAGGCGAGAGCACAGCGGCGGCGGGCATGAAGTCCTCGGGAGGAAGGAGCGCAACCCGGCCGCAGGCAGACGTGCAACGGCGGCGGGCACGAAGTCCTCGGCAGGCGTCGAGGCATCCCCGGGAAGCAGGAGAGCAACCCGGCCGCAGGCAGACGTGCCGCGGCGGCGGGCATGAAGTCCTCAGCAGATGTCGAGGCATCCCCGGGAAGCAGGAGAGGCCAGACAGGGTCCCGGAGCACGCCACCCATGGGCCGATGGAGCATGGGCGACGTCTGGAACTGTCGAGGCGAGAGGGGGTCCAGGAGTGCGCCACCCAGGCGCCGATGAACGTGAGTGGCGTCTGGATATCCCCGGAAGGCAGGAGAGGCCAGACAGGCTCCGGAGCGCGCCACCCACGGGCCGATGGCAGCATGGGCAACGTCCAAAACCGTCGAGGCGAGACGGGGTCCAGGAGTGCACCACCCAGGCGTCGATGAAAACGTGAGTGGCGTCTGGAACCGCCGTGGAGGCGGTGAAAAATGTGAGTGTCCACCTGAGGTCAACCGGCTGGTCGAACCTCCTCTCCGGCACCAGAAAAAAAGCAAAAACTCAAAAGGGTCGATAGCCGTTAGCTGTTGCCATTAGCTGGCAGCCACCGGTAGCTGCTAGCCGTAGTTAGCCAACGTGGTTAGCTGCTAGTTGTCGTTAGCTAGCGCAGCTGGGACGTGCAGCCGCACGCCCCGAAGAAACAACCCCACGAGGTAGCAATCGGGTTCATCCCTACCCAGCAGGTCGTGCATCGTCCCCCCTGTAGTCGGAAGGCAGATGCGGGAATGGCGAGCAACATCCTCAGCCATTCCACGAGGCGCGCACCGAGCCTCAGTCCGCGTGCCTGTAGCAGCTACGGTCGACTCCAAAAAATCCCCGGCATTTCGAGAAAGAAACCTGGGTTTCCTTTGCCGTGTTCGGGTCCGTCTCGGAAACTTCCCAAGACGCTGTCGGGGTCACCAATGTAGTGCCGAGAGATAGGGAGTCGGAGGCGGTGCAATGGAGGTACAAAGCTTGCTTTAATGAGCAGCAGAAATGTAGATGTTGTTGGGTCGCAGCCCGGGACGACAAGAGAAAGAGCCAGGAGGGCACACAACATATAAAGGTAACCACATATATGTCCGTGTGGAAACAATACCCCCAACTCTAGTTCCATGTGTGGATTATGTAACCCAGTGTATTAAAGGTGGTCACCACACTGTACAATTTACCACATATGGTGTTCTTAGTTTCCATACCTCCTGTGTTTTATGAGCGACTTATCAAGTCTTAGCAAACGGCATAAAACATGATTAAACATGGTAAAACCATGCTCGTACAACCTATAGAAATGCAAAACCACATAATTTATGAGAATACATTTCATAACATTAACACAACATATTTGAGGTGGCTTTAAATAACATTTCCGTATTTATTTATTTCTCCAGGTGATGTGTTTGTGTGCACTGAGGAGTCTCAAACAGGCGTTTGTTTAATCATTTTAAGAGTGGCTTTAATCAATGAATTCTTCATATATGATAAATGAGAGGTAACATTTTATTTATGGTATTATTTCCACATATTTCTCTCCATTCTTCCTTCTGCCAACGGTGTCGCAGTTTCTCGTCTCTCCCGTTGTTGTGTTTAGTGCGTACGCATGGGTCAGAGTTTGCGTAGAGGACCGCACGTTTTCCCATCAAGTTAGTATTTTATAAATCGCAAACATTGCGTAGAAACTGGCGTACGCCATTTTTTGAGCGTATATCCCTTTATAAATGAGGCCCCTGGTGCGCAGCAGAGAAGTGGATTTAGGTGTGAATGCACCCTTAAATACCTGCACTTTTTAAAGATCATCCATAAACATTCATCTGATTGCATTGTGCTAATTATTTATCTAACACATCATATTCCATTTATTGTATAGGCTCTTCTTGCACTATTTCTATTTTATTTATATGAATCTTGCAACGTTTAATTTGAAAACTCTAAATTGTAGTTTTCACACTTTCCATAAAAAACTACATTGACCAACATCCCGCACATGCGCAGACCGCCTCTATCACTGTCAGTGACGCAAAGATGGCGTCCTCCGCTGCCCGGCTTCTCTGCTCCGGACTGAGCGGACGGTTCCTCTCCGTTTCTGCCCGTCATGCAGCACTCTGCTCGGTCTCAGTGTGGCCTAGTCCCCGGGGAGAGAGAGCCGAGAACCGGAGCCTCTGTCCGGCGTCAGGGAGAAATGTGGTGACATTGAGAGGAATGACAGGTGAGGAGCTAACTGTTAGCATCACAGTGATAGCATCACACTGAGGTGTCATGCAGGTCCACGACACTTTTTAAAAGAACAACTTGTTATGCATGTTCTGAGAAAAAGCGCGCACAAAGAAATGTTATCAACAAGAACCCTGGTTTATTTTGCACAAGAAAACACGTGGAGAAAACTATGAAGGGCTGAATTACATCAATATTAGAAGTTAAAGATTCTAGGCTTTTATTGTCATTGTGCATAGTGTAGTTATGACAATGAACATCTGAGGCTCCTCCAACAGAGCAACACAATACAACAGGAGAAATAGTGCAAGTAAATAAAATAGAATATAGTAGAGATAGTGTAGAATAGTCTATGTACAAGTAATTGGAATATTGATGTGAGTTGCAAACAGAATGTTATGGATGTTCTTTAAAGGGTTCAGGTGTTTAACAGTCTTGCAGGTCCCCAACACTTTTGAAAAGAACAACTTGTTACTTATATCTGCTAATTAGAATAGCGATCATGAAAGAAATTACAAGGAATTGGCTAACAGATAATAACTTAGTAAACTCACAATGGAATAACTTAGTAAATGAAATCTATGTAATGGAGAAACTCTGAGAATTAGAAAGCAGATGCACATCTTTGAGGAAAGGTGGAGAAATGGGTAGAACAATATCATGAAGATATTTAATGTATACCTGAGTATTAATAATGCATTATTTTATTTGTAATATTATTATTACTATTATTGTATTATTTCTTTTCGGATGTATCATCTGTTATGTAATCTGTACCTAGATGTGTTTATTTTGTTATGTATGCTTTGTGAATATTGTCTTAAAATGCAAATACATAATAAAAAAGACTTGTTATACATGTTCTGAGAAAAAGTGTGCACAAAGACATAATAAACAAGAACCCTGGTTTATTTTGCACAAGAGAACATGTGGAGAACACTATGAAGGGCTGAATTACAGCTAACACAAGGATAATGGATAATATTACATTTAGTCTGCAAGAATGGCATGTTAAATTATATATAGATGTAAAATGTACAGTGAGAAAGTTATAAGTCCAGTTAACAAAGGAGCAACTATGGAGCAAGTTCAGAGTCATCTTTAAAGGTCTCCTATCATGCAAAAGTCACTTTGTGATGTCTTCTCTTCATCAACATGTGTCCCCGGTGTGTCGGGGAACTCACGCAGCGTCAGGAAATAAAACCCTCTCTTTTCCTCCGTACCCAAATCTCTAAAAACGGGGAACAACGGAGCTGATCCAGATTTGCGTACGATATGACGTAATATCTGAAATGTGGACCCACGGCCCAATCAGAAACGTTGCTATCAGAAACAATGCCCGACTGTTTTGGACGTAATATGGTCAGTGTTTACATTAGCATCGCTAACACTCAGAGCTAACCTGTACTGGAGAGCATGTGTGTGAAGAAGCAGGAAGTAGAAAGGAACTCACCTTGTGGTATAACCGGCAAGAGAGAAAGCCTTTGAGCTCCAGACTGTTTCAGATCCTTGATAATCCATGATATGGCGTTTCATCACGGCAGCATTTAGTTTAGACAGAAGCTGTCGGGTCCCGCATGAGCTCAGCCCCCTCCTCTTTAAAGCTTTATCCCCAAATCAGCTCTTTAGAAACAGGAAGTGGAATAGAGGGATATGAGGCGTGGCTAGAATCTGTGATCTGTTTGGTATTTGGAGCAAAACACTTCACAGACATGTTTTTTATATATTTGTATATATCTGAGACCTATTGCCTAAAGATAGCCTGATAGGTGACCTTTAAAACATGACTTGACACTAAAAAGAACAACGTGCACAAAGACATATAATAAACAAGAACCATGGTTCATTTTTTGATTTGATTTATTTTGAATGTGTAAAACAATAATACAAAAATGTAACATGAGAATTATTACACAATACAAAATTCAGCAGTGTCAAATGAATATACAAAAATATGACTGATTCTAAGTTATGTATAAACACATGCTGATTTTGCACAGGAGAACAGTTGGTCTGTCCTCACTTGGTTTGTGTGTTTCTGGACCCAAGTTATGCAATTTGTTTTTAATGTCAGTCATCTTTAAATAGAAAATGTACAAACTAACATTGATCCCACTTTGCAGCAGCAGGGAGCAGTCACTAAACTTTCAAACACAAGTAATATAATATGCACACTTTATATCGTGTTAACAGAAACCCTTCAATGGTGTTTCTATTTGTCAGAGAGTTTATAGATTTGTTATCTTCATGGTCATCTGTATCTTTCTCCCTAACGCTCGGAAGACATGTCCTACCAAGGAAGCGTCCTCGACATTGAGAAACACCCCCAGAAAGCGTAGTTTATGCATTTGGTGTAAAAGTAGAATATTTACCTCTGAGATGAAGTGGAGCAGACAATGCTGTAACAATGTAGATGCCCCCTCTGTGGGACTAATGCAGGTGTTCTGACTCTTCTCTGCAGGCTGCAGGTCGAGTCGCTCGTTCCACACCAGCAGCAGTCGGGGGGGAAGCCAGCAGGATCTGTACCAGGTGCTGGGCGTCCCGCGCTCTGCGACTCAGAAGGACATCAAGAAGGCTTACTACCAGGTACCGTACCGTACCGTACCGTACCATACCAGGTACCATACCATACCAGGTACCATACCTTACCAGGTACCATACCATACCAGGTACCATACCATACCATACCAGGTACCATACCTTACCAGGTACCATACCATACCATACCAGGTACCATACCATACCAGGTACCATACCATACCAGGTACCATACCTTACCAGGTACCATACCATACCAGGTACCATACCATACAATACCAGGTACCATACCATACCAGGTAACATACCATACCATACCATATCAGGTACCATACCTTACCAGGTACCATACCATACCAGGTACCATACCATACCAGGTGCCATACCAGGTACCATACCATACCAGGTAACATACCATACCAGGTACCATACCTTACCAGGTACCATACCATACCATACCAGGTACCATACCATACCAGGTAACATACCATACCAGGTACCATACCTTACCATACCATATCAGGTACCATACCATACCAGGTACCATACCATACCATACCAGGTACCATACCAGGTAACATACCATACCAGGTACCATACCAGGTACCATACCAGGTACCGTACCATACCTTACCATACCAGGTACCATACCAGGTACCATACCGTACATTACATGTCACTTGTTTGACGCTTTTATCCAAAGCGACTTACATACTCAATACTGTGGGCAATCCCCACAGGAGCAATTTGGGGTGAAGTGTCTTGCCCAGGGACACAACGACATGCTGACTGCAGTGGGGTTTGAACCTGTGACCTCCTGATCCGAATACCAACTCACAACCCACTGCACCACAGGCCTCCCCGTACCAGGTACCATACCATACCAGGTACCATACCTTACCATACCAGGTACCATACCATGTACCATACCTTACCATACCAGGTACCATACCATACCAGGTACCATACCATACCGTACCATATCATACCATACCAGGTACCATATCATACCAGGTACCATACCATACCAGGTACCATACCATACCATACCAGGTACCATACCATACCATACCATACCAGGTACCATACCATACCAGGTACCATACCAGATACCATACCATACCAGGTACCATACGATACCATACCAGGTACCATACCATACCAGGTACCATACCTTACCATACCAGGTACCATACCATACCAGGTACCATACCTTACCATACCATACCAGGTACCATATCATACCAGGTACCATACGGTACCATACCAGGTACCATACCAGATACCATACCATACCATACCATACCAGGTACCATATCATACCAGGTACCATACGGTACCATACCAGGTACCATACCAGATACCATACCATACCATACCATACCAGGTACCATACCTTACCATACCAGGTACCATACCATACCAGGTACCATACCAGCAGGTACCATACCATACCAGGTACCATACCTTACCATACCAGGTACCTTACCATACCAGGTACCATACCATACCAGGTACCATACCTTACCATACCATACCAGGTACCATACCATACCTTACCATACCAGCAGGTACCATACCATACCAGGTACCATACCTTACCATACCATACCAGGTACCTTGTTTGTTTGTAGCCTTTATTTAACCAGGTGAAAGCCCCTTGAGATCAAAAGATCTCTTTTTTCAACCTTACCATACCATACCAGGTACCATACCATACCAGGTACCATACCTTACCATACCATACCAGGTACCATATCATACCAGGTACCATACGGTACCATACCATACCAGGTACCTTACCATACCAGGTACCTTACCATACCACACCACACCAGGTACCATACCATATCATACCATACCAGGTACCATACCATACCACACCAGGTACCATACCTTACCATACCATACCAGGTACCATACCTTACCAGGTACCATACCATACCAGGTACCTTACCTTACCATACCATACCATACCAGGTACCATACCTTACCATACCATACCAGGTACCATACCTTACCAGGTACCATACCATACCAGGTACCTTACCATACCATACCTTACCATACCATACCAGGTACCATACCTTACCATACCATACCAGGTACCATATCATACCATACCAGGTACCATACCAGGTACCATATGATACCATACGATAATCCTGATGTAGAAAAGACATGAAGAAGAGGAGACACATGTTGATGTAGAAAAGACATGAAGAAGAGGAGACACATGTTGATGTAGAAAAGACATGAAGAAGAGGGGACACATGTTGATGTAGAAAAGACATGAAGAAGTGCATTTACCATAACAGGGGACCTTTAATATTAACTGAATTAGTAGAATCAAATAAAAAACACTTAATTCTCCCTCTCTGTTTCTCTGCAGTTGGCGAAGAAGTTCCACCCCGACACAAACCCAGACGACCCCGAGTCCAAAGAGAAGTTCGCCAAGCTGGCCGACGCCTACGAGGTTCACTCAGCAGATGTTTCACACTTAATGTACTGTCTGTAACTTTAGTCCTGCTTTGAATGGTGTGTGTGTGTGTGTGTGTGTGTGTGTGTGTGTGTGTGTGTGTGTGTGTGTGTGTGTGTGTGTGTGTGTGTGTGTGTGGGTGTGTGTGTGTGTGTGTGTGTGTGTGTGTGTGGTGTGTGTGTGTGTGTGTGTGTGTGTGTGTGTGTGTGTGTGTGTGTGTGTGTGTGTGTGTGTGTGTGTGTGGTGTGTGTGGTGTGGGTGTGTGTGTGTGTGTGTGTGTGTGTGTGTGTGTGTGGTGTGTGTGTGTGTGTGTGTGTGTGTGTGTGTGTGTGTGTGTGTGTGTGTGTGTGTGTGTGTGTGTGTGTGTGTGTGTGTGTGTGTGTGTGTTGTGTGTGTGTGTGTGTGTGTGTGTGTGTGTGTGTGTGTGTGTGTGTGTGTGTGTGTGTGTGTACACAGGTGCTGAGTGACGAGCTGAAGAGGAAGCAGTACGACACGTACGGAGCAGCGGGCTTCAACCCGAGTGGCGGGGGGGCGGGTCAGCAGCAGTACTACAAAGCGGGGGGGTCCAGCATCAACCCGGAAGAGCTGTTCCGGAAGATCTTCGGAGAGTTCAGCGGGGGGAGGGGCTTCGGAGACTTCAACAGCATGTTTGAACAGAGACCAGAGGTACACATCAGACTTTGCATCAAACACACAGCACATTATAAAATACTGATATACACCTGAACATCAGCAGGAGAGGACTCTTTAAAGTAGAGACACTACATACTGATATACACCTGAACATCAGCAGGAGAGGACTCTTTAAAGTAGAGACACTACATACTGATATACACCTGAACATCAGCAGGAGAGGACTCTTTAAAGTAGAGACACTACATACTGATATACACCTGAACATCAGCAGGAGAGGACTCTTTAAAGTAGAGACACTACATACTGATATACACCTGAACATCAGCAGGAGAGGACTCTTTAAAGTAGAGACACTACATACTGATATACACCTGAACATCAGCAGGAGAGGACTCTTTAAAGTAGAGACACTACATACTGATATACACCTGAACATCAGCAGGAGAGGACTCTTTAAAGTAGAGACAATACATACTGATATACACCTGAACATCAGCAGGAGAGGACTCTTTAAAGTAGAGACACTACATACTGATATACACCTGAACATCAGCAGGAGAGGACTCTTTAAAGTAGAGACACTACATACTGATATACACCTGAACATCAGCAGGAGAGGACTCTTTAAAGTAGAGACACTACATACTGATATACTCCTGAACATCAGCAGGAGAGGACTCTTTAAAGTAGAGACACTACATACTGATATACTCCTGAACATCAGCAGGAGAGGACTCTTTAAAGTAGAGACACTACATACTGATATACACCTGAACATCAGCAGGAGAGGACTCTTTAAAGTAGAGACACTACATACTGATATACACCTGAACATTAGCAGGAGAGGACTCTTTAAAGTAGAGACACTACATACTGCAATACACCTGAACATCAGCAGGAGAGGACTCTTTAAAGTAGAGACACTACATACTGATATTTACCTGAACATCAGCAGGAGAGGACTCTTTAAAGCAGAGACACTACATGCTGATATACACCTGAACATCAGCAGGAGAGGACTCTTTAAAGTAGAGACACTACATACTGATATACACCTGAACATCAGCAGGAGAGGACTCTTTAAAGTAGAGACACGACATACTGATATACACCTGAACATCAGCAGGAGAGGACTCTTTAAAGTAGAGACATTGCATGCTGATATACACCTGAACATCAGCAGGAGAGGACTCTTTAAAGTAGAGACACTACATACTGATATACACCTGAACATCAGCAGGAGAGGACTCTTTAAAGCAGATACACTACATACTGATATACATCTGAACATCAGCTGGAGAGTACTCTTTAAAGTAGAGACACTGCACACTGATATACACCTGAACATCAGCAGGAGAGGACTCTTTAAAGTAGAGACACTACATACTGATATACACCTGAACATCAGCAGGAGAGGACTCTTTAAAGCAGAGACACTACATACTGATATACACCTGAACATCAGCAGGAGAGAACTCTTTAAAGTAGAGACACTACATACTGATATACACCTGAACATCAGCAGGAGAGGACTCTTTAAAGTAGAGACACTACTGATATACACCTGAACATCAGCAGGAGAGGACTCTTTAAAGCAGAGACACTACATACTGATATACACCTGAACATCAGCAGTAGAGGACTCTTTAAAGTAGATACACTACAACTGATATATACCTGAACATCAGCAGGAGAGGACTCTTTAAAGCAGAGACACTACTGATATACACCTGAACATCAGCAGGAGAGGACTCTTTAAAGTAAAGACACTACATACTGATATACACCTGAACATCAGCAGGAGAGGACTCTTTAAAGTAGAGACACTACATACTGATATACACCTGAACATCAGCAGGAGAGGACTCTTTAAAGTAGAGACACTACATACTGATATACACCTGAACATCAGCAGGAGAGGACTCTTTAAAGTAGAGACACTACATACTGATATACTCCTGAACATCAGCAGGAGAGGACTCTTTAAAGTAGAGACACTACATACTGATATACTCCTGAACATCAACTGGAGAGGACTCTTTAAAGTAGAGACACTACATACTGATATACACCTGAACATCAACAGGAGAGGACTCTTTAAAGTAGAGACACTACATACTGATATACACCTGAACATCAGCAGGAGAGGACTCTTTAAAGTAGAGACACTACATACTGATATACACCTGAACATCAGCAGGAGAGGACTCTTTAAAGTAGAGACACTACATACTGATATACACCTGAACATCAGCAGGAGAGGACTCTTTAAAGTAGAGACACTACTGATATACACCTGAACATCAGCAGGAGAGGACTCTTTAAAGTAGAGACACTACATACTGATATACACCTGAACATCAGCAGGAGAGGACTCTTTAAAGTAGATACACTACAACTGATATACACCTGAACATCAGCAGGAGAGGACTCTTTAAAGTAGATACACTACAACTGATATACACCTGAACATCAGCAGGAGAGGACTCTTTAAAGTAGATACACTACAACTGATATACACCTGAACATCAGCAGGAGAGGACTCTTTAAAGTAGAGACACTACATACTGATATACACCTGAACATCAGCAGGAGAGGATTCTTTAAAGGAGAGACATTACATACTGATATACACCTGAACATCAGCAGGAGAGGACTCTTTAAAGTAGAGACACTACATACTGATATACACCTGAACATCAGCAGGAGAGGACTCTTTAAAGTAGAGACACTACATACTGATACACACCTGAACATCAGCAGGAGAGGACTCTTTAAAGTAGAGACACTACATACTGATATACACCTGAACATCAGCAGGAGAGGACTCTTTAAAGTAGAGACACTACATACTGATATACACCTGAACATCAGCAGGAGAGGACTCTTTAAAGTAGAGACACTACATACTGATATACACCTGAACATCAGCAGGAGAGGACTCTTTAAAGTAGAGACACTACATACTGATATACACCTGAACATCAGCAGGAGAGGACTCTTTAAAGTAGAGACACTACATACTGATATACACCTGAACATCAGCAGGAGAGGACTCTTTAAAGTAGAGACACTACTGATATACACCTGAACATCAACAGGAGAGGACTCTTTAAAGTAGAGACACTACATACTGATATACACCTGAACATCAGCAGGAGAGGACTCTTTAAAGTAGAGACACTACATACTGATATACACCTGAACATCAGCAGGAGAGGACTCTTTAAAGTAGAGACACTACATACTGATATACACCTGAACATCAGCAGGAGAGGACTCTTTAAAGTAGAGAATAAGCTAAAGAATCTGACAGGTGTGCATGTAAGTAAATATCGTATGCTCTCCTCCCACAGTTTGTGATGGAGCTGACGTTCTCCGAGGCAGCGAAAGGCGCTCAGAAGCCTCTGACGGTGAACCTGGAGGACGCGTGTCCTCGCTGCGATGGGAAGGGCAGCGAGCCCGGCACCAAGGTGTCTCACTGCCACTACTGCAACGGCACCGGCATGGTGAGAGACCACTTCACTCAGAGACCTTACGTACTCATAACAGGGTCCCCGCGAATCCTTAAAAACTCTTACAAGTCTTAAATATTTTTTTGTCTTTTTTGTTAAATCTGTATGTTTTATTTTACCGTTAACATTTAAAAGAGCAATATTTTCCCACTTCTTTTAACTCCTTTCTGTTCTTTGGCGCCTGGCCGACGCGCTCACACATCACGCAGAGATATATTGTTGGTTTTTGGTACATTTATTTTCATGTTATCGTTTACTTTTCTTCACTGTGTTCGTTCTCTTTAAACACAAATGAAAGTATCTTACCGGACGATGTTGAAACAGTTTCGTCACATAAAATAAACAAATCGTAACTTCTCTGCAGCGCAGCGGTCAAAACACCGCACGCTGCTCCTCGGCGCGCTCGCATTATTAATCCCTCCACTGCTGGTCAGTTCTCTGTCGCCTTTAAACAGAACTGTGTGAATCGGGAACCTATGTCACCTGAAACGGATGAGCTTAGCTCATGCAGGGTTCGTACGGTCATTGAAAACCTGGAAAAGTCATGGAAATTCAAAATGCAAATTCCAGGCCCTGGAAAAGTTATGGAAAACAATATTTTTCTAAAAGTTTTGGAAAAGTCATGGAAATATAACTAAAGTTGCGTCAAATATAATTTACATTTTATCTAACCGCCGAAATAATCTGCGGTCGCGAGCTGTTATGTGCCATCATGACGCGCATGGTGTTCTTTTTTAATATATGAAGCGCGAGCTGTGTGCTCGAGACTTCCTGCCTGTCGGGCCGGCTGAACTCTGCTGCTCCGGGATGAGGGTCAGCTACATTATCTACGGTGAGTTCGTTAACTGCGGAGTCACTGTGGCACAGACTGCACCGCTGGTGAACAGCTGTTAGAACGGGCCGTTCAGGTGTTCAGAGCAGAGCGTGATGTAGCTAGCATACATTGTCACTATCTGCTAATGTTAGCTTTAGCCTTCGTTTTCTAATAGTTTTTTTCATAGGCTATAAACAGAGGTGGTATAAGTATAGAGATTGTACCAGTGGCGAGCCGTCAGGGCCCTCTGTGAGGGCCTAAGATATTCTAAAAAATAATATTTGAAAACATTAAAAAAAAAAACATTTTTTTTTTTTCATTTTTTTTATTTTTTTTTGTTGTTGTTACATTTTTCATTAATTTTACCAAAATAACTTGATTTAATTGTATTTAAAATAATATTTCCAAAGAAATAAATCCTTCGAATCTGCCTGTTCCGTTTCTGTTGGAATGTGAATGGTTAAATGCCGTCTCTGCGAGTTATGTGAAGACCGGAGGGCTTGTTGGTCCCTCTCTACATTCACAGAGGGCCAGCTATAGTAACTCAACGAGAGAGTAATGTCAAATGACAGTACAATTGACCAATCATATCTTCCCTCTAAATGGGCGGGCTTTATTTTCGCGGACTTTATGACAGGTTCTGCCCGCTGTGAGGTCTATGCATGGATGTATAATAAGTATGTAGGATGTATAATGGTCTATGCAAGTGGTGCAGTGACGCGTCCTAAAACCCGGAAGTAAGCTGCGCTCGGATTCCCTCGACAGAAAGCAGTGGGATTTCTCCAGAGAATTTTGGAAAATAGCTGGAAATAAGGTCTGTGGAAAACGAAGCTGTTAGATAAATGCACGTTGTGTTCAGCCGGATAATATCCACATGTCTACCCTACTTTTATTATTTTTGAATCATAAATCTAAACGATAGATTTATGATCGATAGATTTATGATTAGCATAAGTTCGTTCATGATGGCTCACTTCAGTGATAGTGAGGACATCGTTGCGAAATTATTAACCGAGTAGTTCCAATGATAAACTGGAGTGGCAAAGGATCAGCTGAATGACCCGCAAGTGCTTCATCCAGAAGGACAGGAGGATGGACTTTGTGTTTCAGTGATTTGATCATCAAAGGTAGGCCTAAGTCATTTTCAATGCGGGCCGCCGTGCCGACTTAATTCATTTGTAATTGGTACTTGGCTGTGGCTGCCCTGTCATGATAGGTGTTTATATAAATTATGTTGTTTTGTGTGGTAGAGGGCAGAGATGTTCACAAGTCTTTTTTTGCAAGTCCAAGTCAAGTCTCAAGTCTTTGGTCACGAGTCCAAGTCAAGTCTCAAGTCTTTGTGGGGTGAGACTTGATCAAGTCTCAAGTCTTTGGTCACGAGTCCAAGTCAAGTCTCAAGTCTCTAAAAAATAAAAGTCTCATGTCTCTTCTGGTTGTAATAATCCTTCTATTGTCTGCTGCTATCCAGTCTGTTAAGAATACTGCACAGCTATATCTAAGAAATTCAAAGCATTTACTGTATTATTATCACTCCTATATCTATTAGCATACAGTATCAGTACTGATTAGTTGTTATATGATCACTTTAAACAGGCTATTGCAATATGAGGACAAACATCACACTTTAGCTAAATGCAAACAACTTATAAGCAAAACACTTCAGAATCAGAAATCAGTATCACAAATACTTTATTAATCCCCCGCAGGGAAACTGTGTTAAAAGTACTTCAAAGTAAACATTTGTTCTGTGCCATTTGCAACTAAAAAACTATTGCTGCAATATTATCTGAAATCTACTGAACTGGTGATATTAAAACATGACCTGTTCCAAAAGAGATATCTACCATTAACACCATTTACCAGCCAGATGCTGGTAAATCATGCAAGTGGCTGGTACTGTATGTTGCACGCACCAGCCAAACATAACAATGGCAATCTATTGAGTGGCTGGTAACATTTCAACATGAGGCTAGGCTAGCCATTTGGCCAGTTTGACCTCTGCAACCGTATTGTTTAATTACACTGGGTCTCTAATGACATCTTTTAAGTCTACTATAAATAAACGTATTCCTCTATCCTCTCACTCAAACCCAGTGTAATGGTAACCTGATAAACCTGTAACATTAACGTTACGTGGTCAACAATAAACCTGTAACCTGCCTATAAACCGACAGATGTATTTATGTATGTAACTATGTATTTTTCTACGTTTAACGTTAGCCAGTAGATGGTGGCAGCCAGTGCTGGAATTGGGCCGGTACTCACCGGTACGCAGTACCGGCACTTCTGGTTCTGACCCATGGAGTACCGGCACTTCTTGCTCAGTACCGGCATGCTGACGGTACTCCGGTACTCATGCACCGTGCCAGTACTCAACACTCTCCCGCCGTTCTTATTATACATCCATATATATATATACAGCCGCCCGGTACTCAGTAGATGCGTCATGAGGTGCCGAACGGACATTCTCATCGCTCTAACCGCTGGAGTTTCACAGCGGCTGTCAGCTGTTTACTCCTGTCATTCAAACAGAACGTGCTGGAGAGGGGGCGGGGCTTATCTTCTCCATGTAAATACTGTGGTGGAAACGACTATGTCAAAATTAACCTATTTGACCGTGATTTAATAGTAATACACGTTTCAAAATAATAATAATAATAATAATAATAATAATAATGCCGAAGTAACAACATACTGAAAACTGTTAGTAAAACCATGTTTTAATGCTTTACAATTTACATACCTAGATGCACGTGTGTTGTGTTTATGCAGTGCAACTCCCACCCAGTGGGTGGCTATGTAGAGTGATAGAACAGAGCAGGCACGCCCCCGAGAGAAGGAAAGCAAGTCACGTCACAAATTAGCATTTCTAAAATGTTAGCGTGGATTAATAAAAGTGCAAAAAGACAGCGGTTGTCGCCGGAAGAAACTTCAAATACAGAGAATGCTGTGCCTGTGTTGGAAATTGTGTCTGATGGGGAGCTTTCTTTGGTTGTGTAATAAGAACAACACCAAAGTACTCTGTTTTCCCAAGGATGTGGTCTCTGACTTGGCTGAGAAGATCCTGCATATTGGGGCTGAACATCCGACTGTGAAGAATGTGGTACTGCACATTGGAACAAATGATGTTGTGAAACAACAGTCAGAAGTGCTGAAAGAAGACTTTAAATGTTTGTTGGAAACTGCCAGCTCTCTAAATGCAGAGGTGTTCATCAGTGGCCCTCAACCGCCAGTCAGAAGAGGAGTGGAGAGATTCAGCAGATTGTTTGCACTGAACACCTGGCTTTCAACGGCCTGTACTGACCATTCTGTTCATTTTATTGACAATTTTAACTTTTTCTGGGATCGCAGACATCTTTTCAAGGCAAATGGAGTTTGCCTGAACAAGTCAGGAGTGAAATTGTTTATCTCTAACATATTCAACTGCCTGCGTCATCAATATGTTCCCTCTGCCAAGGACAAGCAACAAGAGGAATCAAAACAGGAGAAAGACACAACACATCACGCAGAAAACCCTGAAGAATTATCACTGCACCCGCCTGAGGAATGTTCTGATTATGGGAGACATATGAGACACATGGAGGAGTCTCCCACTGCCCGTCACCCCCCCCCCCCCCTGTCAACGCCTTTGAGGATACTCCGTTCACCCTTTCACCCTCGCCCACCCTCCTGGAGATCGATGAACACACAAAGGAGATACAGAGGGTTGGCACCGATTCCTTCCTGGAGTTCAAAGACCAAACGAAGGCGATACGCAGGGCTGGCACCATGTCCTTTACCCCCGCTCCTCAACGACGCCCACCAAAATCACCGCGGAGACGCGCACCATCTCCCCCGTCCTCATCACCGCGCCTACATCAACCACCTCCCCCCCCTGGCAGCATGTCCTCTACCCCCGCACCATCTAGCCCGTCTCCATCACCGTGCCTACGTCAACCACCTCCCCTCCCTTCGAGGGGGCTTCTGCAGTCTCCGAAGCCTGATAAGGATGTGTGTGTACAAAACACAACAAACTCTTACTGATATGTGATGGGTCCAGGCTCAAGGGCGTATGGCACTCTCAACTCTTTCCAGGACATGTCGGGGCCCTGCCTGCCAGTAGCTTTGCCGATATCTGTGTTGATAGGTAATAGATTAAGAGCGGTGAATCATAGAAACAGGAAGCGCTCAAACGTTTGTG